AAACAAATCTAAGAGTAGTTAGACTCAGAATTTTATGGTGCTTTTTCATCTGACTCGCTTACAGCGGTCTGGCTAAACACTGGCTAACACTTTACCGGTTGTTGATATCGAATTACGGGTTTTGGTTAAAGATCGATGAGAAAAGGTGTATGCGGATAAGTTAATCACTCTATAGGCATCAGGCCCACACGAATACTGGTCATTGATTTAGTCAACTAACACCAACCTCGCTTTCGAGGAAAACCCACGCACTTTTTATTCGCAAAGATCCGTAACAATTAACTGACAGGGGGAAGAGCATCGCCAACGGGACCAAAATCGGTTGATGGAAAAGAAATACGAACTAGGTCGAGATAGTCAAAAAAACATTTTCACATACGATTCAGGTACTTACCTAAATATCGGACATGGGATGACCGACAAGAAAATGATAGTAGTATAAACAATTTAGTTGTATCACCAGGTGACTGAGAGCGAATAATTTCACTTCATTTGTCACAAAACGTCAGTATTCAGTCAAGGATGAAAATTGAGCCTACCCAACTGATCGACAACGCCTTAGCCCGGTGGTGTATTCCGTTCCACAACAAAACTCGTAGTAGCCATGATGACCCAGATGTCGTACACGTGCTCCACTATTCTGATAGTATCGGTTATAAATGACCATAAATATACTTGTAAGAACAAAATAAATCTTTCCTTTGAAAAAATCGAGTACATATATAGATAGATAGTCGTGGTGGGGCTCAATGAATGTGTGGTACATAAGTGAGCCAATCACACTGAGGAATTCCATTGTAATTAGAAATCAGTGACCACTATAATACGCAATGTTGGCATGGAGAGAATTGTCACATTGGATCCGCAATCCTGCGATATCTACTGCGATCGAATTCCGGTTCATCTCGACCCCTGTATATTCTGCCAATGGTAGGTGTCAAGTTGTATGGAACTAACGTAATGTACTTCTACGTTTTTCATAATTGCGTGACGATTCCAAATTCATGATAGGAGAAAATCGTTTAAATCGTTTGCCCAGCAGATTGTTTATTCGATCCGGGTTAGGTTCGTGAAAATAGTAAGCCAGCTGGTTATTTATTTTGATTGGAAATGTTTATACTACCAGGGTTTATCGAAGGATTTTAATTGGTATTCGTGATGCATTTTGACGCATTAAGAGGAAATAGAAAGCGAAGCAAGTTAGTACTGCGCAGCTGTTTTGAACGTGTGACAGGTAGTGCGGGTTCAAATTATTTCCTGCAGAAAACCAAACCACCTTGAAGATTGAGCCTGAGATTTGTAAGCTCGATGCTTGTAACTGGATTGCAAAATGTGTTGTATTTTGTGGTGCGAAGCTAACGTGAAAAGGAATGACAGGGTGATTCTGATGTAAGCTCCCTATGAGGTCACCAATCCGATCTTCAGTTGGCTGCACGAATGAAATCAATCTTGGTCTAAGGTGCTTATGAACTCTCCCGTACACGTTTCTTTGGTTCTATTATTATAGTTATTATCATTATTATTATGACTAAGCGACAGGTGTTTTGAGTGTTGATTCTCACCTTGTTCAACAGACGAGCTAGCATCTTTCGAAAATCCAGCCTAGCTAACCCAAGTGCTAAGCTAGTTTAGAGTTGACTGTTGCATTGGAATTGCACTCATTTACCTCAGTACAAAACACAGAACACCAATATGGACGACGTAGTACGTGAACTCCAATAGCTTTGTGCTACGGAAAGACAGGATAAATCTGATCCGCTGCACAATTATGTGGGCACGAAAAATGGGCTCTCCCAGAGCAAAAACAGAGGAGCTTGGGCGAACTAATAATTTTCTTTGGGGAAATGTTTACCCGAATAGCTTCGTAGATAGGCTTCTGATAGAAAGACCTAATCCAACAGTAGTTTATACGGTTAAAAATACCCCACCACCACCACCTTGTTGCAAACTACCATGAAGAATCACTCAAGCATCAAACGTTTGAAATAGCCGAACTACGCATGAACTTCAGCACGTCTCCAACACTATGTTTCCGCCTCAAAGGTAAACTCCACCCCCACAAACCGTACCCGTGTTTCTTTGCGGTCTCCTGTGGATCGAGTTACATCGTTTGAACTACGAGGGAGCTGCCAAAACGGATTCAAGAACACCACCCCAGGTGAAACTAGGACAGCGAAAATGCTATTCAACTACACACACATACTGAAGCCACGGAACTTGGTTAATGTTAATCAAGCTTTCCGAATCATTTTATGATGATTGTGGTAATGGTAGTAGAAGTAGTAGGCGCTGAACTCGGAATACGAATCACGGACTGGATCATGTAAGCAATGAACCGAACTGGCACTGGCACGCAATATCCCACGTAACTCAGACGCGAGGAAAAAGGGTAGCAGTTCGTTTATTGAAAGAAACAAATAGATTAAATAATACGTACAAATTAAGTTCATTGGCTATCCGGGCTTCTACCAATCGCGTTTCAGTATTCCTAGCATCGTTCGGCTTCTGTCTCGGCTGCACAGTCTCTGATTGGCTGGTACGATCTACCTATGATATGAAGTCAGAAGCAGTGACACGTAACCGCTTTGTTGATGTCACCCGTGAAGTTTGATTGATCGCATTGGACCAAAAATCTGTAACGCGTCGCTCCAGAGTGGGAGTCATCTCGTAGGCCCGGATCACCTCAGTTGAACAGGTTTTTGAGTGCACTTCTTCTCTAACAAGCTCCGAATTACAAAGTACCCCGATTGTGCTCGACCCAAGTTCCTGTCCTGTCTGAATGTCGTTAAATATCTTGATGGCACCCTGGCAGAGTGCTTCGTTTGCCCTGCCTTATAGTGTTGTGGTGGCCGAATCGTATTGTACCCTATCAGATTCAGAAAATAAGGTAGTATTGTGTTGGACAATCAATCAACCATTCCTTATTTCGTTTACCATTTTGTCTTGTGCATTACTTCAAGTTGTTTCAAAGTCATTTTTCCAAAGCTGCCTAGACAAAGACTTCAAAACACTGCGTCGGGATTTGGTAACTGTTAGTCGTGTATTCGCCATTCTGCTCAAAGTGTTAGTTGAAACACCTTGTGACCTTCACCTTATGACATACAAGAAGTTCGCTGTAAAAATTATTAGACAACCACACACATTCGTGGCACATCAGCCTTGACGACTGTTTTCGTTTAATCCCTGCTAGAAGCAATTCGTATGGAAACTCTTCAGTTAAGTTGCTGGCCCGTCTGTTGACGGACAGAAAAGCACCAATCGGGGAATGGCATGCACACTTCGTGGGTGAACCTGTTTCTTTTACTTTGGCGACAGTTCCTGTTTTTATTCGGCTTGACACGAGATTAGTAAATGATTTCTTACTGAAAAACCTAAGTCTGGAAGATTAAAAAAATCGTCTTAATAAAAATGCGCTATACAGAAGAAAACTAAACTCATTGTGTTTGACCTGGATATCGTATGCCCGACGGACGATTTGACCTATTTACCAGTCTCGTTTATCGATAACAAAAACCACCTGAACTGATTTTTGACCCAGATTTCTGGAGTTTACAGTTAACACAATCCCTGTCTGGTTGTCTCTGGATTACTTGTCCGGCATCACGGACAGAGAGTCCGTGTATGTGGTGTGTAGTTCTAAAATGTGAACAGAGTTTGTTGTTTGTCCTGACGAACAAAATTAACCGCTGACGGGAGATATGAGTTGGAGACATTGAGGATTGTGTGACTCAATCTGTGCTCAAGAAATAATTTCCATCTGTAGTTCAGGCGTGACTCGTGGACTAGGAGTGAATGTCTCGACTCGAGGAATAGGTCTGTGGATCAAAGCCCGATGATACTACCTTCTCGCAGTTAATCTCATTTCATCAGCTTTCAGTTATTTATCATCAGTAAACTTTTCTTCCTTATTGTCCTCGGTGGCCACAGAAATTTCTATCAAATATCCAACGCATAAAGCTTTACCTGTGACCACGGGGTTTCATTGCTTCAAACAAATGAAATGGTGGTTATCGGTAAGCACTCATTGGTAAGATCTGAAGCTGGAGCCTCACTTTTAGTGGTGAACAGATTAATCCAACATTAAGCTATTCGCTATACCAAACCGCGAACTGAGACTGCCGTTTCGTTTGACTAAATAGCAGGAGCTTAACGTCAACGTCACTTATTGTGTGGATTTTTAAAAGCAGAACAGATTATAACTTGGGGTTAAATAATCCCGAATTGGGTGACGGGAGCTTCTTCCTTAACTTGTTTGCTGACCCTCAGTTCCTCAGTGAGTGAAATCAGATGCCGCATTTAAAGTTAACACCAAAACGAGGACAGAAAAATGGTCAAACTGACCGATATCAACAGAGCTGAGTAGAAGAAATAAACTTGTCTCCCATTAGGCGGCTTTATTGACATTCTAATGGCCTCAAATCGAGGAAGAAGTCATTTTATTGTGACCCGGAACTGTTTGCCACTAGCAGCTCGTTGGATGGATGGATGGGATGGATGGATGGATGGATGGATGGATGGATGGATGGATGGATGGATGGATGGATGG